GGCAATGAAAGCGCCCAATCTTAACCACTAGACAACCAGGGCTGGCTTTGATTACTGTAGCTTTACAGTAATTCTTAAAATCAGTGTTACTCCTCCAATTTTGTTCTTCCTTTTCAAAATTATTTTGACAATTCTAGTTCCTTTGTTTTTCCACATCCATTTTAGAATCGATAAGTCTGTATCTACAAAAAAAATCCTGCTGGGATTTTGACTGGAATTGCATTAAATCTATAGATCAATTTGGGGACAATTGACATGTTAACTATATTGAATCCATCAACCCATGAACATAGTATGTCTCTTCATTTATTTAGGTCTTCTTTTATTTCTTTCATCAGCTTCTTGCAGTTTTCACCAGCCACAGATCCTGCACATGTTTGTTGGATTTTTTGAGGAGCTATTGTAAAATAGTATTGTGTGTGTGTGTGTTTCAAATTTTGGTTTTCTTTTTTCTATTGCTAGTATATAGAAATACGCTTGATTTTTGTGTGTTGAACTTGTATTCTGCAATGTTGCTAAACTCACTTGTTAGTTCTAGTATTTTTAAAAATACATTCCATGGGATTTTCTATGCAGATAACCATGTTATCTGAGAATTGGGGTGGTTTTATTTCTTCCTTCCCAATCTGCAAGCCGTTTATGTCTTTTTCTTGCCTTGCAGAACTGGCTAGGACTTCCGATACAATGTTAAATAATAAGGGTGAGAGCAGACATTCTTGCCCATTCCCGATCTTAGGGATACAATGTTAAATAATAAGGGTGAGAGCGGACATTCTTGCTTCATTCCCGATCTTAGGGAGAAAGCATTGAGTATCTAATGTGCTGCCCTGGTAGACAATACTGCACACATATTATCACAATTCGTTGCTAGAGGAATGAATTGTGTGACTCCACTGGGAAAGGACTCTTAGAAGCTTGTACTGCTCTCCTCTGGACTTCACCCTGGGCACTTTTTTCCGTTTGCTGATTTTGCTTAGTATCCTTAAGTTGCAATAAATTTTAGCCATGAGTACAGCTATATGCTGAGTTCTGTGAAACCTCTTTGCAAATAATTGAACCTGGGGTGGTCTTGGGGACCCCCAACACAAGTGCACACACATTATAGATTATGATGTATCCTTGGTGAATTCTTATCAGCTTGTAATATCTCTCTTTATGCTTGGTAATTTTCTTTGTTCTGTAGTTTACTTTGTCAGACATTAATGGAGTCATTTGAGCTTTCTTTATTTCTTTTTTTTTTTTGTGAGGAAGATCAGCCCTGAGCTAACGTCCGATGCTGATCCTCCTCTTTTTTGCCAAGGAAGACTGGCCCTGGGCTAACATCTGTGCCTATCTTCCTCTACTTTATATGGGACGACGCCACAGCATGGCTTGATGAGCGGTGCCTCAGTCTGAGCCCAGGATCTGAACCTGTGAACCCTGGGCCGCCAATAGGAGTGCACAAACTTAACCAATATGCCACTGGACCAGCCCCTCCATCCTTTTATTTTAACCTACCTATATCGTTATATTTGAAGTGAGTTTATTGTACATAACATATAGTTGGGTCATGATGCCTTTTTAAATTTTTGTGAGGAGATTAGCCCTGTGCTAACATCTGCCAATCCTCCTCTTTTTTTGCTGAGGAAGACTGGCCCTGGGCTAACATCCGTGCCCATCTTCCTCCACTTTATATGGGACGCCACCACAGCATGGCTTGCCAAGCAGTGCGTCAGTGCACGCCCGGGATCCAAACTGTCGAACCCCGGGCCGCCAGCAGAGGAGTGTGTGCACTTAACCGCTTGCACCACCAGGCCGGCCCCATGTTGCCTTTATTTATTTATTTTTATTTTTTATTTTATTTTTTGTGTGTGTGAGGAAGCCCTGTGCTAACATCTGCCAATCCTCCTCTTTTTTTGGCTGAGGAAGACTGGCCCTGGGCTAACATCCGTGCCCATCTTCCTCCACTTTATATGGGACACCACCACAGCATGGCTTGCCAAGTGGTGTGTTGGTGCGCCCCCAGGGTCCGAAGCGGTGAACCCCGGGCCGCCGCAGCGGAGCGCGCGCACTTAACCGCTTGTGCCACTGGGCCGGCCCCTGTTGCCTTTTTTTTAAAAAAAGAATTCATCCTTACAATCTTTGACTTTTACTTGCATTTAATGTAATTACTAGTATGTTTGGATTTATATATATCCTTTTATCATTTGTTTTCTGTTTCTTCCCTCTGTTTTTTGTTTCTCTGCTTTCTTGCTTTGCTTTGGGTTATTCCTTTTAATTGTGCTTTTGACTGTATTTCTTTGTATACTTTTTAAAGTGATTCATCTAGGAATTTGAAATATACATACTTAACTCTTCGTTGACTACTGAGAATCAATATTTACCATTTCACATGGAACATAGAAACCTTACCACCGTATAGGTCCCGTTAGTCTCCCCCTCTTTATGTTATAGTTATCTTATACATCACATCCACACACATTGAAACCCCATCAGACAATGTTTTAATTTTTGCTTTCAATCCTCAAATATAATTTAATTCAAAAGAAGAATAGTCTATTATATTTGACCAAATATTTACCCTTTTCTGCTGCTTTTCCTTCATTCCTGACGTCCAAGTTTCCTTCTGGTGCTATTTTCCTTCTGTCTGAAACTTTCGACTGCAGTTCTTTTAGGTCTGCTAACAACACATTCTCTTTGTTTCCCTTCATCTCTGAATGTCTTTTTTACACGTTCATTCCTTAAGGATATTTTCCTGAATGTAGAATTCTGGGTTGAATTCTACCAAATTCAAAAGTTCAGTTCTTTCAGCACTTTAGACATGTTGAGACACTTCCTATTCTTCAGTCATTTGATTCATTGTTCCTCTATAAGGAATGCATTCTTTTTCTTTGGCTGCTTTCAAGATTTTTTTCTTTAGTTTTCAGCAGTTTGATTATGAAATGTCTGGGCCTGGATTTTTTTTGGGTCTATCCTGTTTGGTGTTTTCTGAGCTTCTTGAATCTGTAGGTTTATATCTTTTGCCAAATTTGTGAAGTTTCTAGCGATTATCGCTTCAAAAAATATATTTTAATCACCATACTCTTTCACTTTTTCTTTTGTGTTTCTGATGATAAAAATTATAGGTGTTTTAGTATTTTCTCACAAGTCCTTGAGATTCTGTTCATTTTCCTTTCAATCTCTTTTTTTCTGAGTTGTTTGGATTGAATAATTTCTATTGATCTAGCTTCAAGTTCACTATTTTCTCGTCTCTATTCTGCTGTTGAATCCAACCAGTGAGATTTTTATTTTATCATATTTTTCACTTCTAAAATTTCCATTTGTTTCTTATTTAAATATTCTCTTTTTTTTGGTGCCAAGACTTTCTATTTTTATGTTTATTTCAAAAGTGTTCAGGATTGCTTGTTGAAGCATTTTTACAATAGCTGCTTTAAAGACTTTGTCAGATAATTCCAACATCAGTCTTCTCTGCATTGATGTGCATTGGTTGTCTTTCCCATGTGAGTTGAGATTTTCCTGGTTCTTCATATTCTGAGTAATTTTGAATTATGTGCTGGACATTTTGAATATTAGGTTAAGAGACTCTGGGTCTTGTATCAATCCTACAGAGTATATTGCCATTTCTGTTTTAGCAGGCATTCTACCTCTCTTCACAAGCAGCCACCATAGCCCTTGTCATCATGGCGAGGCCAGGATGAGGGAGGAAGGTGGGCCGTGGAGGGGAGTGCATCAGATGAAGAGAGGGCAAGTCTTGGGGGCGTTATTGGAGGTATCTGGGTTCTGGGGGAACCAGGAACTACCCACATATGACAGACTCCAGAGTCCTCAGTGGAGATTGGGGTGGGCGGGGAACCCAGCCTGGGAGGCACACGCAGGATGCAACGCGCATGCCTGGTGCGCGCGCATGCCCGGTGCCACGCACCTTCCCATCAGCCGTTAGTGTTGGGGGTGCATAACGTTCCCCGGGCACCGAGGTGTGAGGGTGGCGTTTTACCGTCTGACTTCTTTCTTGTTGGTAGAGACTCAGCCGGTAGGTACACAGATCAGTCTTCCCAGGAGTTTAAGAGTGAGGAGGAAGCCAGCAGGCTTCGGCGGGTCCAGGCGGCATGGTTTCTGGCCTCTGAGGAGGGTCCTCCAGGTCGTTGTCCTCTTCACTGGCGTCGCAGCCGCCATGACTCTTGTCGTCGTGGTGGGGCCGGGACGAGGGAGGACGGTGGGCCGCGGAGGGGAGGGGGTGTGAGGAAGATGGGGTGAGTCTTGGGGGCGTTATTGGAGGTATCCGGGTCCTGGAGGCGCCTGGGACTGCTGAAAGAGCACGGAATCCGGAGTCCTCAGTGGGGCCCTGGGCCGGGGCGGGTTGGGGCGGGCGGTAAAGAAAGGGCCCAGAAGCAGGGAACGCCGCGGGCTTGTAACTGCGTCCCCGAGATTGGTAGTGCACCAAGCAGAGTGCCAAGGGAGGAGCGGGCCCATCCTTCTGCATGGCAGCTCGGCAGCTGGGCAGCTCGTCACCTCAGCCCTTGGAGTGGGAAAACAGCCACAGGCAATATGGGAACGGTTGAGGCTTTCCATGGGTTCCAACAGAACTTGATGGAAGGCGGAAGAATGGGCCTAGGAGATGGGAGTGTGACAAAAGCAGTAGTCACTCAACTTGAAATTTTCTGGTGCTTTCATGATGAATCCAGTTGTGAAACCAAACCTCATCAGAAAAGTCTCCAATCTTTTACCGTGTGCCTTAAGGTGATTTCCCTGTCAGCTTGGCCATGACATGAACAGTTGCCTTGGCAAGCTGCCAGATTTGATGTGATTGGAAAGCATGCACATTTACATTACCTTGAGACTTATTTTGTTGTTGTTATCTCTCTTCTTAAAAAATTATTTTATTGAGGTTACATTGGTTTACCTTGAGACTTTTCAATATTAAAAAAGAAGTACATGTCACCATTTGGCCACAGAAGTGGTCAAATACAGTTATCCTCTTAAGTGTGTTCTCCAAATCACAATATTCTGTTTTCAGTGTGAAATATGAGTGGGCAGATAAGGTGGACATTCAGACCTAGAGGAAGAAGCGATGATGAAGAATCTTCCCAGCTAGTTGGGCCTGTGGTTGTAAGTATTTTAACGTTTGATGTTTTTTATTAGTAGAAATTTATTTTTGTGACAATATTGTTGAGCTGGTATAGATACAGTGATAAAGGGCTTCCATACTGATAAGGAATATTGATCCAGGAGAATTACATTCTGGTGTTGCCTGAATGGATGTTGTTATGTTCCTGGGAAATAGACCTGATGACTTCCTTCTCATGCTTGTTAACAATAGATTGCACACATCCATCCCAAAGTAAATTAAAATGGCTTCCAAAGTCCTTGTGGGATAACTCTTTTTTTGGAGTAGCCTCTCTGTGGGAAGAGTAACTTCATTAAGAGTAAGTATATTGAGGGGCTGGCCCTGTGGCTTAGCAGTTGAGTGCGCACGCTCCGCTACTGGCAGCGCAGTTTGGATCCCGGCACGCCCCGACGCACTGCTTGTCCGGCCATGCTGAGGCCGCGTCCTACATACAGCAACTAGGAGGATGTGCAGCTATGACATACAACTATCTACTGGGGCTTTGGGGAGAAAAAGGGAAAAAAAAGGAGGAGGATTGGCAATAGATGTTAGCTCAGGGCCGGTCCTCCTCAGCAAAAAGAGGAGGCTTGGCATGGATGTTAGCTCAGGGCTGATCTTCCTCACACACACACAAAAAAAACAGAGTAAGTATATTGAATAGTAATGGAGAAATATCATTAGATTTACTTATGATCAAATATATCTATGTATTCTGTATATTTATATTATTGACATGTATTAATAACAAAACTTTTTTTTAACAAAACTTTTTATTTGTGCACACACACACCCTTGTAGACCCAGCAGCCCAGTGATGAGCAACCTCAACAAGAGGAACCACCAACTGAGAGTCAGGATATTACACCTGGTCAAGAGAAAGAAGGTGAAGGAGCACTTGTGGTTCAAGGTGAAGGGAAAGGGAAGAAGAACGCCTCTTGCATGTTTATATGTATGTGTGCATGCGTTATGATATACCAGTAACAAGAGGAAAGAAAACAATAAAAAGGGATCTCAAACATTGCCTGCAAATTGGCTGGAAAAGTAAAGAGAGTATAGTTTGCAGCTTTGAGCAATCCCTCATTGTAAGAAATTTCTCCCATTTTATAAATGAGAAAATTGAGGCCGAAAGATTGTATTTATCAAAGAGCACTCAACTGTTGATGACAAAATTTGTATTTCATTCCAAAGTTTGTGTCTTCCTACCACCTATGTTGCTGTAAAAAAAGGTGAATGATTTTACTTAAAATGCTGAAGACTCTAATGTCTGTATTGTAAGGTAGCTCAGTATTGGCCCAGGGATAAATACTGTTCAGTGGAGCAGGATAGAGACTCCAGAAAAGAGCTCAATGAATTATAGGCACTGTTTCCTTCTGTTGCTATTTTGATATGGTAAATTTGGAAAAAGCTGGATAATTCAGGATACTGGCATATAGGTAGCTGGTTTAGTATTATTTTTTAAGGGGCTTATACAAGGTGGTTAAATCCTTCTATGGTTAGAAAAATGAAAGGATTAATTTTCTAAAGATTAACATGAGACAGAAATTATTTCTCCCAGGTATATATAGTATTTTGAAGGAAGACATTTACGTAATTCAGGCCACTGTTAAAGGTTTCTAGAATATGAATGACAACAATGCCTATTCATTTCTTTCCACCCCACTTCCTTTATTCTCACTGTAAGACAATATATTTGCAATTATCCACAAATAATTTTGCTGTTATTTTTGCTATTTTGTTCTATATGGGATTCATTTATGGAAAATTACACATAGGGCCTTTGGATCTAAATAAAACTTTCTGGTTACCCTAATAGGAGACAGGTGTCAAAACTGTAAGATTTGTCAGGCCCGAAAATCCCCTCAGCTAATCCTTCAGAAAATTACATTTTTATTGTAATTGAAATCCTATCCATGCTGTGAACTTCAGACTTTGTAGATGGCTGATGCTCTTAGTACACTCTGGCAAATACGGGAGTTATACATGTGTTATGGTTTATCCATGGATTGTCATTTAAAATAAAGGTTTCATAATATGGGAAAATAAATATGTAAAGTCCATTCCTGATTCCTGCTTATTTTGCAAAAATAACTCCTCATTGAACTGTACACTTAAAAATGGTTAAGATGGTAAATTTTATATTATGAGTTTTTAAACCACAATTAAAAATAAAGTAACTCCTGTCTTCCTGAAGTACAATGTAGTTGTCATATATTCTTTTTAATTTTTACTTTATATTTCCAAAGCAAAAAAATTACAGAAAAGTTACAATAGTAGTACAGTTAACTCACATACTTTTCACTTATTCACCGATTATTAATAGTTTTTACCATGTTGGTTTCATATCTTCTTCCCTTCCCCCGATACACACACACACACACACACACACACACACATCCCAATATGTTTACTGTTATTAATGCTGAATCATTTAGATAAAGTTTCAATATATCCTAAGAACAAGGAAAAAGTCATTCTCTTGGCTAACCACTGTACAATTATCAAAATCAGGAAATTTGACAATGAGAAAATGCAGTCATTTAGTATCTTCAAATTTCCTCAGTTGTAACAATAATTTCCTTTATAGAATTTTTTTGATCCAGAGTCTAGTCTAGGATCATGCATTGCATTTAGTTGTCATGTCTATTTAGTCTCCTTTATCTGGAGTAGTTCTTTTATTTTTCTTTGTCATTCATGATACTGACATTTCTGAAGAGGATAGACCAGTCGGTTTGCAGAATGTTTATCAATTTGGGCTTTTTCCTGTATTTTTTTAAGACTTTTTTTTCACTCGACATTTATAGGTGTCTACTCATGCCATGTAACATGCTAAGTACTAATGAGAGACATGATTTCAGCCTTCAGCTCACAATCTAGTTAGACTCAAACAAATCACTAATAAGTACAATCACAAGTACTATGCAGGTAAGTACAAAGGGAGCACCTACGTTGTCTGAGGGCAGTCTTGGGAAAGGAAGAGGAACCTGCTTTCCTAGTTTCTGGTAACAGACTCCTGAAATAATGCTCTTGTGATTCTTATGCATCACATTTATTACTACACTAGCCTAAAATTATTTAATAACACAGAGGGAATGAATATTATCATTTCCTTTTTCATATCTCATGTTTTACTTCTTTTTTTTTTTTTTTTGAGGAAGATTAGCCCTAAGCTAACATCTGTTGCCAATCCTCCTCTTTTTGCTGAGGAAGATTGGTCCTGGACTAACATCCGTGCCCGTCTTCCTCTGCTTTATATGTGGGATGCTGCCACAGCATGGCTTGATAAGCGGTACATAGGTCCACACCCGGGATCCGAACCTGCAAACCCTGGGCTGCCGAAGCAGAGTGTGTGAACTTAACTGCTACGCCACTGGGCTGGCCCCTCATGTTTTACTTCTTAAATTGATAACCTTTTTATTTGCAAGGGCTTGCCCTGGAAGCTAATCAACAGAAACTGGCTCAGCCAAAGACTGGGCGTGAGTGTGGTGATGGTCCTGATGTCAAGGGGAAGAGACTATGAAATCCAGAGCCCATGAAAATGCCAGAAGCAGGTATGTTATCCATTAAGCATGCAAATTCTAGGGTGTTTCTTTTCCACAATATTATATTTTTAATAATATAGAGGTAACATTACTGCTACTTTAACAACAGAGTTCACATATAAAGATTATTTGAAATGTAGTTCAGACCTTAAATGCTTGACTTATAGACTATCAGGTATAGAAACAAATTGGGTCAAAGCTATATTGAATTATAAAATAGGAAAGCATTTTGTTACCTTTGAGTATAGGTCCTTTAACCAACAGCTAATAATTTTCAGATACTTTTATAGAGATCAGTTTTAACAAATACACGATGCATTTGTAACACACATCAGTTTGTATGAAATATGCTGAGGCCCTAAAGTAGGTTCTGGGACCGGCTCTAACATAATTTGTGAGACTCTGGGCAAATCTCTTAACTTTTAAACACATCTTTGCTCTTATAAAAATAGTGAATTCAAATCAGATATTTAAAAATTATTTTAATGATTTTTGCGTTCTGTTGGGTAGAATACAAAGATAATCTGCTTTGTGTGAATTGTTTCTCATAAATCATCAAACCCTGACCTGAGTCAAATTACAACATCTGAATTGAGGTTTCGTGGCTACTAAGAAAACGAACTCTGCTTGATGTTTGTTTTTCTGTACAGAGTCCTGAATGCCTGTTCTCAGATTCTGAATTCTCTGGCTCTTAACAACTGCATTTTAAATCCTTTCCCCAAGGAAGCCTCAAATGACTAAATAATAAAATGGCAAGAGATAGTCTAGTTTCTAGTTTCTGTGGCTGATTAAGTAGAGAGAGTGCATGTAGTCACTGATGCTCAAGGTGGCTGTAAGATAGCTATGCTAAGCACACTCTGTGTCTCCACTCAGTGTTAATGAGCTACTGTTCCTAATTAAAATGTGGATGCGGTGATATCATCACCTCTGACCATATCAAAAGTGGCATATGTATAAATTTCTGCCTTGAGACATCAATTGATAAGATTTGAAGTTCAAAGACCATAACCTTAATAAGTCCTGAGTAATCAAGTTAAGTATGTTTATATGTGTTTTCCCAATTGCTGGCCATTAGTCACAAGAGCTTCTGAATTTAAAGTAAGCACTGATGTTTAGGGAAGAAGTTACCTTGCGTTAGTCTTCTAAACTTTTTTACTCTACATTGCTGGACCATTCCATTAGACTATCGACATTAAGAGAGAGTTTTCAGACTACTTCCAGGAACCTACTGAACATGGCTAAAATGTACTCATAGGAAGATCATCGCCTTAAATGCATATGTTATTAAAAGAAAGATGATAAATTACATGAGCATCTAATATAAAAAAATAATAATAAAGCAAAAAAATAAACTCAAGGGAAAAAGAAAGAGATTCTTAATAAAAGATAGGTATGAATCATTAGGAAAAGGAAAAATAATCCAACTAATAAGTAAATCAAAGAGATTGCTCTTTTAGAAAATATTTGTGAATAGAGGATCCACTAGTTTACATAATCGTGAAGAAAATAAAGGCCAAGTATATATAATATGGAGTATGAACAAGACACTAACAGATATTGAGTATGTTATATAATTATATATATATATGTGTGTATTTGGCTTTCCAAGTTTTTTTCTTTTATTTCCTTTTTTTCATTGTGAAATTTTTGATTTTTATTTTGTGTGTGAGGAAGATCAGCCCTGAGCTAACATCCATGCCAATCCTCCTCTTTTTGCTGAGAAAGACTGGCCCTGGGCTAACATCTGTGCCTATCTTCCTCCAGTTTATGTGGGACCCCGCCACAGCATGGCTTGATGAGCGGTGCGTCGGTGCGTGTCTGGGATCCGAACCCAGGCCCCCAGCAGCGGAGCACACGTACTTAACCGCTACGACATGGGGCTGGGCCCTGTTGTGAAATTTTTGTTGTACATTATTGTTTATCAGTAACCATATAAGTGCATCCCTCCACCCCTTGTGCCCACCCCCCACCCCCGTAGCCCCTGGTAACCAGCAAACAGTTCTATCTGTCCGTGTATTGGTTTATCTTCCACATATGAGTGAAATCATACACTGTTTGTCCTTCTCTTTCTGGCTTATTTCACTTAACATAATACCCTCCAGGTCCATCCATGTTGTTGCAAATGGGATGATTTTGTCTTGTTTTATGGCTGAGTAGTATTCCATGGTATATATATACCACATCTTCTTTATCCAATCATCAGTCAAGGGACACTTGGGTTGCTTCCATGTCCTGGCTATAGTGAATAATGCTGCGATGAACATAGGGGTGCATAAGCCTCTTTGGATCGTCGATTTCAGGTTCGTTGGGTAGATACCCAGAAGTGGGATAGCTGGATCATAAGGTATTTCTATTTTTAATTTTTTGAGGAATCTCCATACTGTTTTCCATAGAGGCTGCACCGGTTTGCATTCCCACCAGCAGTGGATTAGGGTTCCCATTTCTCCACAGCCTCTCCAGCACTTGTTGCTTTTTGTCTTGGTGATTGTTGGCTTTCCAAGTTTTTTTTCTTTCTTTCTCTTTCTCCCCCACTTCTGTCCTTCATGTTTTTTTGGCCGGACTGTGAGACATGGTGCTATTTCTCCTTGACAATTTGATGTTACCTTTGATGATAATGGCTTAAAACTAGTGTGACCATATAAATTATTGTACAAACTGGAACGCTTTTCAGCGTGTAACGAGTCACTATTCATAATTACAGCAGGAGTATGGATGCAAACAGGGACAAATGGTTGCCCTACTTATAAGGGCTAAACTAGCTCAAAGAAACAGTTTTGCACTTTTCCATAATAAAAGTCAAAACAAACGCAATACCAGCCTTTCTATTTATTTCACTTAAGCAATTCCAAGTGTGATATTATTGTTGTAGATATCCTACATGTATTCAGAATACTTTTTCAAGTCAGAACATTTAAATGATTCTTTTGAAAAGTTTCTTAGGTTTTTCATTTGTTGTTTGGTTGAATTTTTACTAAAAGTATAAAGAATTTTTGCTTTCTACTTAAAACTACCTCTGAATAGATGCACTAGGTTTAATCTGTTCTGAACTTGAGTAGTCTTTTTGCTTCTTTGTACCACTAGAAAGAGTGGTGTGTTTAACAAATATTGTTAATGTGTCTGAAAGTCTACCTTCAAAGTCTCTACAGAGGTTTAACTGGATATAAGCCAAAGGGTCACCCTTAGGGTTCTGGTTTTAGTCCATTTTATAAAACTAAAAATGTAGTGTTCTTTAGTGTCATCTAAATAAAGTTCTAAGTAATGTATCCCACTGTTATGTTTATCTTATAGGTGAAGGACAACCACAGGTTTAAAGGAAGACAAGCTGAAACCATGCAGGCTGTTCTTGTGTTGGAAATTTGACTGTTAAAATTCTCTCAATAAAGTTTTGCAGTTTTGTCCAAAGAAGTCTTGCACCTATTTTGTTAAATTTATTTCTATGTATTTGATGCTGTTGGAAATTGTATCTTTTTCTGAAATTTTATATTTTGTTTGAGCTGGTATAGAGAGACATAATTTTTGTATATTGCTTTTTCTATCCAGCAACCTTGCTAAATATGCTTATTAATTCCAAAAGTTTATGTTTAGATCCTTTTCCATTTTCAACATATATAATCATATCATCTTTGAATAATAATAACAACAATTTTGTCCCTGCTATTTTCAACATTTTATCTTTTATTTCCTTTTCTCATTTTATGGCGTTGGGCAGACCTACCCACTACGATGTTGAATAGAATTGGTGATAGTGGACATCTTTGTCTTATCCTTGATCAGAAATGGAAAATGTTCAACATTTCACCATGATGTTTACTGTGCTGCTTTTTTGTAGATACACTTTATCAGAGTACATGCATTCTATTCCTAGTTTTCTGAGAGTATTCATCTTTTTTTTTTTTTTGTGAGGAAGATCAGCCCTGAGCTAACATCCATGCCAATCCTCCTCTTTTTGCTGAGGAAGACTGGCCCTGGACTAACATCCGTGCCGGTCTTCCTCCACTTTATATGGGACGCCGCCACAGCGTGGCTTGACAAGCGGTGTGTGGGTATGTGCCTGGGATCTGAACCTGGGCCGCCAGCAGCAGAGTGCGCACACTTAACCGCTATACCATGGGGCTGGCCCCTGCGAGTATTCATCTTGAATGTATGTTGAATACATAAAACATAGTACATTTATGGAGATGATCATAGGATTTTTCCCTCTATTAATCTGTTAATGTGTTGAATTACATTGATAAGTTTTCATGGTTAAGCCAACTTTACATTCCTAAGGTAAACACAATTTGGTCATGAGTAATCTGTGTCCTAATAATTTGTTTAGGATTTTTACGTATGTCCTAGTGAGTGACCTTAGCCTGTACTTTTATTTCATGTACTCTCTTTGTTGAATTTTGGTATCAAGGTTACACTAGAAAAATGAATTGGTATGTAAAAGCTTTTTTTCTGTTCTCTGGAACTGATGTCTCTGCAAGGCTGTGAGGAACATGGGCTAGGGTTTCCTATGTTCAGCCGTGTCTGGATTGCATCTCTTTTTTACTATTGGACCCTACTTAAAGGGCGGTGACCGAAGGGGAAGCTCCAGGTTCCTATCCCTTCAAACTTGGTGAGGCGCCCATCTTCTCTGCAAGACACCTCTGATGATGCTATCACTCTGAAAGCTACCTGCTCCTGTTTCTATGCTGATATTCGTCTTCTATACACAGAAAGTTAAAAGTCATGGCTCTGTTAACTTGCCTAGATAGTTTTGATCTGTGCTTTATGGTCATGAATGGCTGACCAACCCTGGAGCTGTCTGTATACAGTTATGACAGTAGCTCCATTTATTGAGTTTTTAATCTAATAATAACAGGAGTTATTACAAAAACTCACATTTATAGAGTGTATACTGTTAGCCACTTCTTTGTGCTAGATTCTGTACATGTATGACCTCATCAAATCCTCACAAAGAGGGTAAGTCAGAGTTTTCACAAAATTGACAATGTCTGACTCCAGTAAGAAGGAGATTTGG